TGTATCATCAGTAGTTTTTTTCCCGCTCCGCCCCCCTCCGGTGTTTGCCATCGGGGTTGGGTTTTCGTCGCTTGGCAACGACGTTGTAAGACAAGCCACCCCCCCCGGTGTTTGCCATCGGGATCGGGTTTTCGTCGCTTGGCAACGACGTTGTAAAACAAGCCAATTCACTTCGTGAACTCGGCAACCAGGTTACCGGTTTTTTTTTTACCTCCGGTTTATTTTTGGCGGTAACCATAATGGTGGTCGAGTAGATCATGTTGTGCGGGGTGGAGAACCCTCGCTCCGCGCAAGGGGGATGATCGCACCACGTTGTGTTAAAATGGTCAAGCACCCTCGAGGCAGTTACATAGTGCTTACAACTGTCTCAGGAAGTGAAAGCACCAGAAAGTAAATTAAGTCATACGCAGCTGTCATCCATACGCAAGAAAGTAAGCACAAGATGCCGAACACCCTTTGCAGGATGCAGCGCACCCTTCATGCGACTCGCCGAATATCTCACGGCGCTCCGCGCTTGGTGATGTGAGAGCCTGGTCCGGTGAGAACCCGGCGTGCTCCGTCCCGGCTTTGTAGGGATGCGAGGTCAATGGTCTAACGATTACGGCATGCACGACTATGAGTACACCCCCCCCACCCCCCCGCCCTTCCCCCCACAAATCAGCGTTTGTCATGTTTTTTCTCGCTTGGCAACGACGGTGGAAGACAAGCCAATTCACATCGTGAGCTCGGCAACCAGGTTGAAACCGTCTTTATTGCACCTCTGGTTATTTTTTGGCGGTAACCAATATGGTGGTCGAGTAGATCATGTTTTGCGGCGTCGAGAACCCCCACTCTACGTAAGGGGGATGATCGCACCACGTTGTGCTAAAATGGTCAAGCATCCTTGCTGCAGTTACACAGTGCTTACAACTATCTCAGGAAGTGAAAGCACCAGAAAATGATATAGGTCACACGCAGTTGTCATCCGTACGCAAGGAAGTAAGCACAAGATACTGAACATCTTTAGCAGGATGCAGCGCACCCTTCATG